CTGCTGCTATTGCTGCTGCTGCTGCTGCTGCTGCTGCTGCTGCTGCAGCTGTGGGGCCGCGTTTGCCCGTGGGATTCGCACTGGAGCGCCAGCCGCAGCAGCGAGGGTTTGTTTATTTTGTTTGCTGTTCTACTGAAAAAACAAACCCCTGAGCAGGGCCTTTGGGGCAGTCTCTTTAAATCAAACAGTGAAGTTAAAAACAAGTAACAGCAGCAGCAGCAGCAGCAGCAGCAGCAGCAGTTGCAGTTGTTGCATGTGCTGCTGGTGCTGGTGCAGCAGCAACAGCAAATGCAACAAAAGCAGAAGTCGAGAGCAACTACGACAAGAACAGCAGCAGCAACAGCAGCAACAATAACACGCAACAGCGGCAGCAGCAGCAGCAGCAACATTCACAGCAGCAGCAACAGTAGCAGCAACAGGAGCACCAACAAACAGCCACAGCAGCAGCAACAAGAACAACACCAGGAACAGCAGCAACAACAACAGCAACAACGACAAGAAAAAGAACTAGCAAACCAAACACCCGCCGCAGCTGATATGCTGCAGCAGCTGCAGCTAGAGTAGCTGCAGCAGCTGCAGCAGCTGCAGCAGCTGCAGCAGCTGCTGCTGCAGCACTGCAGCAGTGCTGTAGAGCGAGAGGGAGAGAGACAGAGAAACAAGCAGCAGCGACGGATGCAAACAAACGAAACAAACAGACGCATGCCGATAGCAATAAATAAACAAAAGAATTAACAAATAAATAAATAAACACAGCAGAAAGCAGACGCATGCCGATAGCAATAAATAAACAAAAGAATTAACAAATAAATAAATAAACACAGCAGAAAGGAGACAAACAAACAGAGGGGAGGCTTCATTCTTTGCTTCAGCTGTACATACACCCGACGTATACTCAAATACTCAGTGCACAAGAAACCCGTGCAGACAGAGAAAAGCAGCAGCAGCTGCTGCTGCAGCAGCAGCAGCGGCAGCAGCAGCAGCAGCTGCTGCTGCGGCGGCGGCGGCTTCGGCGCAGCAGCAGCAGCGGCAGCAGGGAAGAGTGCTGCTGCTGCTGCTTCAGCAGCGTCTGCTGCATATTCTTATTAGAATAACAGGAGCATAAAGACTTGCCTCTGAGCGCTAGGGTTTAGGGTTTAGGGTTTTAGGGTTTAGGGTTTCCTGCTCGGCAGCAGACAGCAGCAGCAGCAGCAGCGACCGCTCTGGTCCAGCGGCACTGAGGTGTATATACACCTCAGCAAGAGCAGCATCAGCACAACTTTTCTTTCTTCGGGGTGTCTCTGCAGCTGCTGCCCTCTCTAATGCTAAGAAGCCGCTCTGGCCAGCAGCAGCAGCAGCAGCTACGACAGCGGCAGCAGCTGCAGCAGCAACAACGGCAGTAGCAGCAGCAACGACAGCAGCAGCAGCAACGGCAGCAGCAGCAGCAGCAGCAGCAGAAACTGAAGCAGAGAAAGCAAGGACAGCAACGGAAGAAGCAACTGCAGCAGCAGTTGCCGAACCAGCAGTTGCGACCGCAGCAGCAGCAGCAGCAGTAACAGCAGCAGCAGCAGCAACAACATTGGGTGTGCGCGCACCTGAAACATTGATTGTATAAGGGTTCAGTAGCAGCAGCAGCAGCACGAGCGACGGCAACACCAGCAGCTAGTGCAGCAGCAGCAAGAGCAGAGACTGCGTTATCAGCAGCACCAACTGCAGCAGCAACTGCAGCAGCAACTGCAGCAGCAACCTCAGCAGCAACTGCAACAACTGCAGCACCAACTGCAGCCCTAACTGCAGCACCGACCGCAACACGAACAGCAGCACCAACTGCAGCACCAGCTGCAGCAGCAACTGCAACAATTGCAGCAACACCAGCAGCACCAACTGCAACAACAACTGCAGCAGCAACTGCAGCAGCAACTGCAACAGCAACTGCAACAGCAACTGCAGCAGCAACTGCAGCAGCAACTGCAGTGCACTGGTGTCTGGGGTCAGCAACCGTGACTGCTCTAACAGCTGCATTCGCTGCTTCTGCTTTTGCTGCTGTTGCTGTTACTGCTGCTGCAGCAACAGCAAGTCGCTGCGGGCCCTAGGGAGGGCGGCTGCCCCCGAGTCGCTGCTGCTGCAGCAGCAACTGCAGCAGCAGCAGCAGCAGCAGCAGCAGATTTCGGGTGTCTGTGCACCTGGAACGATGGGGGCTGGAGGCAGCACTTTAGGGGACACGATCCTCTTCCCTGCTCCTGAGTGCTCGGTGCGACAAACCCTAAACCCTAAACCCTAAACCCTAAACCCTAGGGCTATAGCGACGCCTTTGAATTCATTCGGGGGGCATCTCTCCTGGGTCTTCCCATATCAGTGTCTAGGGTTTAGGGTTTAGGGTTTAGGGTTTAGGGTTTAGGGTTTAGGGTTTAGGGTTTGCGTGTGAGTGCGCAGTACGACGACTCTCTGCCGGGTTTACTGTGGATATCGGAGGACTTCTGCTATCAGAAATCTGCTGCTGCTGCTGCTGCTGAGAGGCAGCAAACTGCTTCTTCTTTTCCTGTTTGTTTTATCCCCGCTCCGTATAACAGAGGGAAGTATGTGCTTCTATACTGGCACGGTAGGTATACACAGACCCCCGCGTAGCTAGCTAGCTAGCTAGCTAGCTAGCTAGCTGGCTAGCTAGCTAGCTAGCTTGGCGTATGGGTAGTTGGGGTGTCTAGGTCGATAGGCGGGTGCGTAGAGAGGCATTTCGATTGGTTAGCTAGCTAGGCAGCTAGCTAGCCGATCTAAATCTACGCAGCTAGATAATCTAGCTAGCCAGCTAGCTAGATGCTTATATACGCAGCTAAATTAGGCAGCTAGCTAGCTAGCTAGCTAGGTAGCTAGCTTGGCGTATGGGTTGTTGGGGTGTCTAGGTCGATAGGCGGCTGCGTAGAGAGGCATTTCGATTGGTTAGCTAGCTAGGCAGCTAGCTAGGCGATCTAAATCTACGCAGCTAGATAATCTAGCTAGCCAGCTAGCTAGATGTTTATATACGCAGCTAAATTAGGCAGCTACCTAGCTAGCTAGCTAGGTGTATAGGTAGCTTGCTTAGCTAGCTACCCGGGTATTCCAGTTCTCAGGTATCTGAATATATTGACTAGCTAGCTGGCTAGCTAGCTGCCTTTCTATCTATCTAGCTAGCTAGCTACCTATCTATCTAGCTAGCTAGCTACCTCTCTAGCTAGCTAGCAAGGCCTGTTGCGCTGCGTGTACACCCGAATGCTGCAGGTAATTCGTGCGACTTAGGGCATATAAGAGAAGAATTAGAAGTACTTGCTGAGTATTTAAGCTGTCACTGTTTAGCAATAGAGTATCCTGGCTACGGTCTAGCAGCAGCAGCAACAGCAACAGCAGCAGCAGCAACAACAACAACAGCAGCAACTGCTGCAGCAGCAGCAGCAGCAGCAAGCAGCAGACAAAGGGCTCGCCTCAGCACCAGCGATGTTATTAACCTCTGGGGTAGAGCTGCTTTTAACTTTTTAATATTCATCGGCGTCCCTCCAGAGAACATCATTTGCTTCGGTCGATCTATAGGAACAGGTGCTGCTGCTGCTGCTGATGCTGCTGCTGCTGATGCTGCTGCTGCTGATGCTGCTGATGCTGGTGCTGCTGATGCTGCTGTAGCTAGCTAGGTGTATAGGTAGCTTGCTTAGCTAGCTACCCGGGTATTCCAGTTCTCAGGTATCAGATAGATAGGCAGCTAGCTAGCTAGCTAGCTGCCTATCTACCTAGCTAGCTAGCTACCTATCTATCTAGCTAGCTAGCAAGGCCTGTGTGTATCTGTCGGTGTGCATGCGCTGCGTGTACACCCGAATGCTGCAGGTAATTCGTGCGACTTAGGGCATATAAGAGAAGAATTAGAAGTACTTGCTGAGTATTTAAGCTGTCACTGTTTAGCAATAGAGTATCCTGGCTACGGTCTAGCAGCAGCAGCAACAGCAACAGCAGCAGCAGCAACAACAACAACAGCAGCAACTGCTGCAGCAGCAGCAGCAGCAGCAAGCAGCAGACAAAGGGCTCGCCTCAGCACCAGCGATGTTATTAACCTCTGGGGTAGAGCTGCTTTTAACTTTTTAATATTCATCGGCGTCCCTCCAGAGAACATCATTTGCTTCGGTCGATCTATAGGAACAGGTGCTGCTGCTGCTGCTGATGCTGCTGCTGCTGATGCTGCTGCTGCTGATGCTGCTGATGCTGGTGCTGCTGATGCTGCTGTTTGCTGATGCTGATGTTGCTGCTGTTGCTGTTTGCTGCTGCTGATGCTGATGGTGGTGGTGCTGCTGTTTGCTGCTGCTGATGCTGATGGTGATGGTGCTGCTGATGCTGCTGCTGCTGCTGCTGTTGCTGCTGTTGCTGCTGTTGCTGCTGTTGCTTGAATCATTCCTTTATTTTTATCTGTCTCTTTATTATATTTTAATTGTCTCTCTCTTCTTACTATTATCTTTTTTGTTTTATTTTAATGCTATTGTTAATTTATTTTAACTGTCTCTTTATTATATTTAATTATATCTTTAATTTATTTTAACTGTCTCTTTAACTGTCTCCTTTCAGGGCCTGCAGCACAGTTAGCTGCGTCTCTGTATGAAGAGGGTGTTTATGTTGGTGGGGTTGTGCTGCATGCACCTTATCTCTCAGTGCATAAGATTGTTGCAGGTGGGTCTTCACTAAGCAGCAGCAGCAGCAGCAGCAGCA